GGCACACCACCATTGCATCTGAAGGTCATCCTCATCATCGTCATCGTTGTAATCATCATCATCATCATCATCATCATCATCATCATCATCATCACAATCACCAATGGTTTTGATTACTCGTACTGCTGATTGTCAATCGTCAACAATCATCAGTCGCCATCATCATCCTCATCATTGTCATCGTTGTAATCATCGTCATCATCGTCATCATCATCATCATCATCATCATCATCATCATCACAGTGACCAATGATTTTGATCATGGTTCTAACCATTATCCACTACCACTCCACTACCACCACAGCTACTGCTACCGGTAGTCGTCACCATCATCCTCATCTTCCTCCTGTACTACCACTACTCGTACTGCTGATTGTCCATCATCAACAATCATCAGTCGCCATCATCATCCTCATGCATGATCTTAAGTGTCGTTGCGGCTGTTGTCACTACTTGCTATACTACCACTAGTGCTAAAGCTATTGATACTCCACAAGAACAGTGATTAGAACAACCGTTCTACCTTGTTGCTATTGAGTCGAATGAGGTCCAAGTTCGATTCCGGTTTTGCTGAGATGGCGTGGACGCTCTCTCTTTTCCTACGGAGTCTGCACTTCAGATGGGCAGAAAGAGAGAGAGAGAGAGAGAGAGAGAGAGAGAGAGAGAGAGAGAGAGAGAGAGAGAGAGAGAGAGAGAGAGAGAGAGAGAGTGTTGTTGCAGCTCAAGCAATAGTCAATAGTCGATGGCCTGTCCTTCAGCATAGCTGAAAGAGCAGCAGGGTAGATGTTTAGGCAGTATTTGCACCGCGGTAGCCCCCCCCGAACAGCATCGCCATTTTGGAGCATGGTGATTGGCGACAAGTCGCATCCGGTCGCCCCCTACCCATCTCCACAACCGTAGGGGAAGGAGGGCAGGGCGTTCGGGAAAACGAGAAAGAGGTGCTTGATTGATTCCCTATATTTCCTAGCAGCAGCGTACTTGTGGGATACTGCTGCACTGAAAAGGCAGACATTCTGTCTATGGGACTGTGGACCCGGTTTTGCTGCCCCCCACCAATAGATTGGGGCCGGGCCAATCACAGAGCCATACCACTGCGGGTTGCTCATATTAACTGCAGCAGTAGGCCCTGGGGATGTATTTCTCTACACTCTTAAAGCGAATTGCGGGTCTCGCGTAACGCTCCCCATGCGAGGCCCGGAGCGGCAGTGTTGGGAAAAAGGCCGGGAACATGGGCCAGGCCCAACGCAAACTGTGGGTCACTTTTTTGTATTTTTTCCTGTGTGTGTGCCATGCGAGCCCCGGAGCGGCAGTGTTGGGAAAGAGACTGGGAACATGGGCCAGGCCCAACGCAAACTGTGGGTCGTTTTTTTGTATTTTTTGCCTGTGTGTGTGCTCGACGCACTGTTTGCCAAGCGCCGCATGTTCGAATACAAGTACGTAGTGCAGGGACCCGTACAGTCGTCGCCTCCCAGCTGATTTGCAAGTTTTTTTCTCAGTAGATTGGTTACTTCGCTCTCAGTAGATTCTTTTTTTTTTCTCTGTCGTTTTCTACAGCCAGCCGGTCTCATGGCATGCACAAAAGACAAAAAATATGGCGGCGTATCTAAGATACATTCTAACTTTAGCCCGTTTGTCCCATTAGGGCCTTGCCCCACTGCTCAGTGCTCATGGCGTGGACAACAGACAAGAGTGGATTCGTTGACTTTTTCTTTCTTTCTTTTTTGGTGATTCGTTGGCTTTGCTTCTCAGTAGATCGTCTTTTTCCGGGGCAATGCAATCCCACAGCCAGCGTGCCCCATCCCGTGCACAAAAGACAAAAAATATGGCGGTGTATCTGTCTAACTTCCCTCCACTACTCACAACATGCACGAAAGACAAAGTATGGCGGTGTATCGGTACATGTCCTAGCAGAAGAGTCATTCTGATTTTGCACATGACCATCGCCAGGTAATTCAGAATTAGGGCATCACCACACCACTCTTGAAATGTGCGAATTGAGAATGAACATCCAGCTAGAACATGGCCACCCGCCACAATTTTGTCTTTTTCACATTTCGAGAGTGGTGTGGCGATGCGCTTATGCGCTCCCTTTCATCTAGGTCCATCAGGATTCAAACTCAGGTCTGTATTTCGACGGTTCATGGGTGCAGCGACTAAGCTAAGGTCGTTGGTTCCGAACCTACCTGTTGTTCACTTCGTGAAATGCAGTTGCGTGATTTGGCCGCGTGGGCTTCACAGTTTTGAAAAAAAAGAAAGGGTAGATGTTTAGGCAGTGTTTGCACTGCGGTAGGGCCGTCCCCTGTTGTTCTAATGAGGACCTACCGGCAGTCGTCGTCGTCCAGCAGTAGGGCCGTCCCCTGTTGTTCTAATGAGGACCTACCGGTTGTCATCGTCCAGCCCACCGTGCGTAGGCAACGAGTGGATGAGGTATATGCTGTCCCGTCGGAGACCCCTTCTCTTTGCCAGCCAGAAACCTTGCTTGGTGCAATGCCAGTTCTTGCCCTCCGCCGTCTCCTTTTCCTTGCTTTCGTCCTTGGCCCATTTGTCTACTGCCATGCACCGATCATACTGCATTCGCTGTTTTCCTACAGTTGCTTTCCTCGTCTTCTGTTCTTCCCTTTCTCTTGTCCTATTTGTTTCGTCTTTACGACCTGTTTTTTGTTTACCTGTGTCCTGGTGCCTGATCTCTTCCCTTGGCCAGACTACTACGACTACAACATTGGAGGGCCTTAATCCACCAGTACATGCCATAAATCGACCACGGGCCACTTTTGGAAAGCCGGCCACCCACCGCTGATGTATTTTATGAACGACGACCTGTTTTTTGTTAACCTGTGTCCTTTTGCCTGATCATACTGCATTCTCCAGACTACCACTAGAACATTGGAGGGCCTTAATCCACCAGTACATGCCATACATCGGCCACGGGCCTCTTTCGAAAGCTGGCTGGCTGCCCGCCGCCTGTGGTACTTTATGAACGGCGCGCGAGCCTCCAAAAGTTCAGGAGAGGCTCAATTGGATTCTCAACTTGGCTTACTTGGTGCTTTAGAAGAAAGAAACGACAAAAAAGACTAACTTGGAGCTGGGCTGGGCATGCCCGGGCCAAACGGACTGGGGGAGATCCGCCCGGCAAAACCGGGTGGCGGGAAAAGTATCCCGGAATTTATTTATTTTTTTCTGAGAATGGGGGTTTGGTGCGCTTGCTGAGAGCAGCCCAAAATTACTGAGTAACTGGTGAAAGGTATTCGGGGGGGCATTGGGAGGGGGGTTGGGGTTGGGGGTTTTGGGGGGGGGTATTTTGGAGGGGGTTGACAGGGGGGGGTAAATGGGTGTGTTGTGGATGTTTCACAACAGCAACAGAAGCAGCAGCAGAAGAAGAAGTTGAAAAAGAAGAAAAGCTACAAGAAAGGAGGAGCAGGAGGAGGAGCAGGAGGAGGAGGAGGAGGAAGAAGAAGAAGAAAAAGAAGAAGAAGAAAGGAGTAAGAATAAGAGCAGGAATTACACTGAGAACCATCAGGAGAAGACTGATAAAACACAGGCAGGTGACCACTCTCGGAAATAGAGTTGTATAGCGGGAGATTTGAGTATCAAAGTCTCTCTCTCTCTCTCTCTTACATGCCCAGTTGGGCGATGAACATATAAACCAAGGATCCGCAATGTGATGAAAAGGACTGAATGGACAATGCAGTGCAAGTAGAATCTCAACAAGCAGTGTAATGGTGTTTTATAGTGCAGTAGAAGATTTAGATACAAGTCCTGACCTGACCGGGACTGACCTCTTTCACGTAGTACAAGATAGCGAAGCAGAGTGCTAGAATACTAAGGACTAGCCCAATCAATGTTTCAACGCAGACCAAACATACATCATGCTCATCACAAGGTGTGAAGGGGCCTGGCGTTATACACAGGAAGGAGGCGCCAGGTCCAAACATACACAGACGAAGAGGAGGGGATCAGACGAAGAAGAGGAAGGGGGAGATGGGAAAGTCGTCAACACCAAGTCTCGTTACAAGTCCCAAATGATCCCTCTTCAAAATGTCTGAAGTCCAATGTCGAGTCTGGATCCAATGTCACCAAGCTCTCTCTCTCTCCCTTGTAGTCTGTTGATGCAGTGAAGTCAGATAGCGAGACGGTGAGAAGGAGATGGTGGACTGAGAAGAGGAAGAAGAACTCTCTCTCTCATGTGCCAGGTACTAACCTGTGAAGGTGCTGTGCTGCAGGTACCTCGAAGACGAAGCTGGAGCAATGGCGCTGCAGGTAAGTCCCTCTGGCCTCCGCCCAATCTCTTTCTCTCTAGCACTTCTCTAGCTGCTATGGCACCCAGCGCTGAAGACTACCGCTAACGCTACTAGCGCCCAGCGCTGAAGACTACTGCTAACGCTGCTACTACTCCTGCAGCGCTCCTCCAGAGTGCTGCTGCCGAATCCTGAAGACTACCTCCTGCCTTCTGAACTGCACGTGAAGTGCCTGGGAAGTACCTAGGAACTACCTTCCTGCCTGCAGGGCGGGCCAGTCCTATATAGTGCTGGCCCGTCCAGGAGGCTGCTCTTGCCAATGCCGAAACGTGCCAGACCCTGGCGTTGAAGCTCAACCAGGGGTTGTCTTGAAAACAGGCCCGAAATGGCGTGTGCTAAAACCCTGGTTTGTTGCCTGAGTTTCAGGGCAGGTCGAACCGATGAGGGCCCGAAAATGGCCCTCAGTTTCAGGCTGAAAACACTGAGGGGCGGAAAGGCCCTGGTTTAGCCTGAAACGACACAGGGCCTGTAGGCCCTTGTTTTTAGGCTTTTGGCCTGAAAACGTCACGGGCCTGGAAAAGCCTGAAAACGTCACGGGCCTGGAAATGGCCCGTGCAGCCTATTGCAGGTGCAGCGTGTAACACCCCCCCCTCCTTATGAAGTCAAGCCGGGTCGAGGGTGAAGCTGAGGATCTGAAGGTGGAACCTGGACACGGGTGCGACGTGGAGCCGAAGATACCGGCTTGCCTTGCATTTTGCGTTCGTAGCGTGCGAGAACATCCGGAGCTGTTGCTTGGAGTTCCGCACGGGTCAACCAACGGTCAGCGTTGTGAGTACCAATTACTTGGTTGACCTGTTGTCGTAGCGTCGCTGGGAGATGATGTCGCCGACGTCCTGAAAACCGTCCATAGAGGGTGGGTCTTGTGAATGTCACCCGGGAAAATCGCCATGTTCCGCTGGCGTGTAAAGAGCCAACTTGGAGCAATGAAAGAATGGGTAGACGGGCAAGTGGGCGGGCACCGAATAGTGAAGGAAGGTCCCTCGGGTGCATCCCCAATGGGTGCCACGATCGGCCAGGGCCCCATCCATTTCCGGAGGAGCTTGCGAGAGATATCTTGTTGAAGGCTGAATTCTGCGGCGGAAACCCAAACGAGATCGCCAGCGCGGAATGGGCAAGGAAGACGCTGGTGATTGGCCTGCTGGCTCATGCGTTGCTGCGTCATGGCCATCTGGTTGCGTGCCTTGACAAGTAGCTCTTGCATCCAACGCAAGAAAAGAAGATGGTCGTTGCTCTCGGTCGTTCGTGGAATGATTGTGTCCAACAGCGAAGTGACCGGCGAGTCGTTCTCGAACTCGAAGGGCAACATCCCGATAGCCGGGTGGATGGACGAGTTGTAGGCCAACTCAACATCCGACAGCTGCTCAACCCAATCCTTTTGGTCGGGGCGGATGAGGGTGCGAAGGAGAACCTGTGCGGTCTGATGCGCCCTCTCCGTTTGGCCATCGGTTTGGGGGTGGCGAGCCGAACTTGGCTTGAGAGATGAGCCCCATCGTTTGATGAGCGCCAACCAAAAATTGGACATGAACCGAGTGTCGTGGTCACAAACAATTTCCTTGGGGTAACCCTTGGTTTGAATCCAACCGGCGTAAAGAACCTGGACCAACTCCGGTGCCTTGGCATGATAGCGGTAAGGCAAAAACATGGCAAACTTGGTGAGTCGGTCGACCACCGTGAGAATCCCATCCACGCCGGTCTTGTGCTTGGGGAACGGGCCGGTAATGTCCATGGCAATCGCTTCCCTTCGCCGCAAGGGGACCGGTAATGTTCGCAACTCGCCGTATGGACGATGGTTGTGGGATTTGTAGCGGCGGCAAACCTCGCATGACTCGCAATAGCGTGTGACGTCGTCGAGAAGGTTGGACCACCAAAATTGCTCGCGAAGTCGGGCAATCGTGTGATTGACTTCGAAGTGTCCGGTGGCGGGAGCATCGTGAAACTCGCCAAAAAGCCGTGTACGCAAGTGAGGGTTACTCGGTACGCAAAGAAGGTCCTTTCCCCGTGTGTGGACAAGCAAGTACCCCTCTTGGATCCGATAGTGAGAAGGCGTCGGATTAGGAGAGGAGCAATTCACGTACTTGTCGCAAAACTCGAGGTCAGCTTGGTAGCCGCGGATGAAGCTGTCCCACAGGTAGTTGTCGATCTGGAAGGTTGAATAGACCACGGTATAATGATCCGGACGCCGCGAAAGAGCATCCACAAAACGGTTCGACTTCCTCGGAATGTGATCGAGAAAGAAGTCGAACTGGTCGATGAAAGCCATCCATCGAGCGATGGTGCTGTTGACGGTGTCTTGGGTCTTGTAAAAGACTAACGGATTGTTGTCCGTTACCCATCGGAATTGGCTTTGACCAAGGAGGAAGTGCCGCCACCGCTTGAGCGCGTGGACGAAGGCGAGGAACTTCTTACGTGCATCGTTAGTGGAGTGCACAACGGGCACTTTCTTGCTGAAATACTCGACCGGGTGCCAATCCACACCATCGTGTTGCTCGAGGACGACACCAATGCCATAGCCAGACGCATCTGTAGTGACGCGCGTAGGCAAAAGCGGGTTGTATATGTGCAAGACCTCCGCAGATAATAGCGCGGCTTTGAGAGCCTGTTGCGATGCTCCCAAATCAGTTTTTGCAGCAGCCCTGCCTGCAGTGGGTGGTGGTTGTGGCTCCAGGTATCCCGGGAGATCATTGTCCACCACGAGTGTCTCCTCTGCAACGACCCCCCCCTTCGAAATTCCATGCAGCTGCCTATAAGTTTTTAGGAGGTACTGCATATTCTTGTCGCCCAACTGCATCTTCCCTCTAGCAGCGACGAGCTCGTTGACAATCTCCCCTGTTCTCAATGGACATGGCTTCTGCGGCTTCAGGTAATGTTCGACCGCCCTTGTGCGAGCACAGCCGACACCTCACGCAATACTCACCTCGTGCATTCTGCTCAACCTCCTGTCCCTGCTCCGCGTACTTCCACACCCTTTTTTTCCTTCTGCAGCGTGTCCTGCCTTGTCTCGTCCCGTGGAATGAATAGTGAGGGGTTCGTTGCCGGCGTGTGGTCTTTGGAGGTCACCGTTGATGCAGGTGTACCGGAGCTGCTTCCATTCTTTGCCCTTTCCTCTGTCTGCACCTGTTGCACCCCTCGTCGTTCCAAACCTGCCATTCCCCACGATGACGTCGCTGCCACTACCCGCCATGATGTCGTGGAAGAAGAGGATGCGAGGACAAGCAAAGAAGAAGGAAGGGGGGGGGGGATAGCGGAGGAGGAAGGAGGAGAAGAAGAAGAAGAAGAACGGTGGAAGAGTAGGAAGGAGAAGAAAAAGAAAGGAGAAGGGGGAGCCTGGGGAGGAAGAAGGGGAATTGGTGATGGTGTCAAGTAGTCCCAAGAAGAAGAAGAAGAAGAAGAAGAAGAAGAAGAAGAACGGAGGAGGAGAAAGAAGAAGAAGAAGAAGAAGAAGAAGAAGAAGAAGAAGAAGTAGAAGAAGAAGTAGAAGAAGAAGAAGAAGAAGAAGAAGAAGAAGAAGAAGTGGAAGAACGGAGGAGGAGGAGAAAGAAGAAGAAGAAGAAGAAGAAGAAGAAGAAGAAGAAGAAGAAGAAGAAGAAGAGGAAGAACGGAGGAGGAGGAGAAAGAAGAAGAAGAAGAAGAAGAAGAAGAAGAAGAAGAAGAAGAAGAAGAAGAAGTGGAAGAACGGAGGAGGAGGAGAAAGAAGAAGAAGGAGAAGAAGAAGTGGAAGAACGAAGGAGGAGGAGAAAGAAGAAGAAGAGGTGATGGCATCAAGTGGGAAGAAGACGGAGGAGAAAGAAGAAAAGGGGAGGAGAAGGAGAAGAAAGGCGGGAGGAAGTAGAAGAAAGGTGGGAGAAAGGACAAGATGGCGGGTGGAAGGAGGTTTCCCGACAGGGGGAAGATGGGAGAAACTTTCCCGACAAGGGGGAAGAAGAAGAAGACGAAAAGGGGAGGAGGAGAAAGGAGAAGAAAGGTGGGAGAAAGGGCGAGGTAGCGGGTGAGAGGGAGTTTCACGACAGGGGACAAATGGGAGAAACTATCCCGAAGAAGAAGACGAAACGCAGAGGAGGAGAAAGGAGAAGAAAGGTGGGAGAAAGGGCGAGGTAGCGGGTGAGAGGGAGTTTCACGACAGGGGACAAATGGGAGAAACTATCCCGATGAGGGGGAAGAAGAAGAACAAGAAAGGGAGATGAGGAAGAAGGAGAAAGGAAGAATAAGAGGCAGATGGCGGGTGGTAGTAGATGGCAGGCGCTTCCAAACAGCGGCCGGATGTACCAGATGGCGGGCGCTTCCAAACAGATGGTGGGCTGTTCACGAGGAATGTGTGAGCTATCGAGCGAGGGTAGGTGTCCCAATGTCGAGGGCGAGACAGCAGCGATCCATGAAAAAAGAAAAAAAGAAAAAAAAAAGGGCGGGATGTCAAGCGGGGGAAATTGTCCAAAGTAAAGTACGAGATAGGACTGCTAATGACGAGGAAGAAGAAGAAATGAAAGGAAGAAGAAGAAATGAAAGGAAGAAGAAGAAGAAGAAAGGACGAGGAAGACGAAGAAATGAAAGGAAGAAGAAGAAGAAAGGAATAAGGAGGAGGAGGATGAGGAGGAGGAGGACTTTGAGCATGGGGGGGGGGGGCGTGAAGGCCACGTGTCAAGCCGAGGAAGTATGTCGGTCGCGGAGTTTCGGGAGTGGAGGAAGAACAAGCTGAAGATGAAGAAATGAGGAGCAAGAAGAAGAGCAATAAAGGAGGACGAAGAAGAAGAAGAAGAAGAAGAAGAAGAAGAAGAAGAAGAAGACTCGCAGCGGAGTGGGGGGAACCTACATTCGACAAGCGGGCGCGACAGGGGGGTGTTCCCAGTGTGGCGGGAGTTTGGAGTTGACGGGCTTCCGATGACAGGGGGCGATGGTGACCGCTGCTGCAACGTGCGAGGGAGGGTGCTCGACCGTGTGGGAGGCTGCTCGTGAATTCCAGCCCCTATCGGCATTCGAAATCGAATGTGGCCGGCATTCGCGCCCAGCCTCACTGTGCCACCCGAGGTTGAACAGGGACCCTTCAGCGGCTGATAACGGCCGTCAATCTTCGATGACCGACAACTGGTAACATCAGGCGCGAAAGGGGCCCTGTCGCCCTATTTTTTTTTTTAAACCTACCTGTTCAGTTTACATGCGGCGGGTGACAGGAGGCCACGTGGACCCGCCCAGGTCCTCCCAACCCCCCGCTCACAAATGCGTTGGGCCCGCTCGGTGGTCGATCGGGGGACCCAACCGGCCGGGCCCCCCGGGACCCCCACCGGGCGACGGCCCGGTGTCGATCGGTAGGAAGTTATCTGCCGGCACGCCGACCGGGCCCTCTACCTCGCGCCGTGTCTGTCACCCACGGGAGGGTCAGTTGGGGCTCCTGAAACCTGCAAGGAAATCAGTTAGTCCTCATCCACACAAACAAGGCTGGAGCCGACTTTAGACTGAACAACAAATTTCTCACAGTCCACCGTTTGGAAGGAAAAAATATAATGTTTTCATTTAGTCCAAAATAATTGGGTTCACTGCGCTACTTCCAGCCCCAGAAGTGGATCCCGTATCAAAGTCGGGAAAATCGGTTCGAGTTCCGAACGATCTCACTGACAGTCTCGGACGAATCCTCTGCCCAATGGGGTGACGCCGGCAACGGGCCTGCTGATCCCAAGGAACTGTGCTCGAGCTCTCAGTGTCTAAGGCTGAGTCGAGTGCCCATCGTGGCCACTGTTCTCGATCTAGTTCCACCATGAGTCGATCCGGCCGCCTATTCCCCTCACTCGAGTCCCAACTCCAAATGTCTCAGTTTGGTCTCAAATGTTCCGGTCCGACTCACGAGCCCGGTCTGATCTCGAAGTTCGGGCCCCGACCCAAATCCCAGTTCCGTCCAAAGTCCTTGTTGCGTACAAGTACCAGTTTTGACAAAGTCCCAATACCGTCAGAGTCCCAGTCCGGCAAAGCCCCGGTCTGTCCAATGTTGTGGCCCGGGAAAGTCTTGTGCTGTCCAAAGTCCTGGACCCGTCTAAATTCCTGCCTCGCCAAAAGCCCCGGTTCAGTCAGAATTCTGGTCCCATCCAAAGCTCTGGCCCAATGAAGTCCTGGTCCCACAAAGTCCCGGTCCGACTGTAGGACCCCAGCGCCCTGAAAACCGCACCTTGATCCCGGTATCCCAGTTCGCGCCCGTAGCCCCGGACTGTCCAATGTCCTGGCCCGGGAAAGTCACGTGCTGTCCAAGTCCCGGACCCGTCCAAATTCTTGCCTCGCCAAAAGCCCCGGTTCTGTCAGAATCCCGGTCCCGTCCAAAGCTTTGGCCCAGCGAAGTCCTGGTCCCGCAAAGTCCCGGTCCGATTGTAGGACCCCAGCGCCCCGAAAACCACACCTTGATTCCGGTATCCCAGTTCGTGCCCGTAGCCTCGGATTGTGCCCGAAGTCTCGGTCCATTCGTGCGGAGGGCGTGTGTGAACAATTTCGAACAGTGCCGTTAGTTGCCGCTCCCGCCCCTGCTGGTGAGCGTGCCCTGGTGCTTGAACGCATCCGGGTTCCGACTACGCGCTGGCGCACGCGACTGTCTCGACGCCCAATCCCGACTCCGAGTGAGCGCGCGCTGGTGCGCGCGGCTATCCCGACGCCCGATTTCAACTCCGCGCTAGCGCGTGCTTGTGCGCGCAGCTGTGCGCTACAGTCTTCCCCTGAACAAAACGCACGTATGTACTATTCAATTTTCCCTGAAAAACTCGATTTTTCGAAGTAGCTCCCGAAAATCCGAATAGTACGCACGTTCAAATAGTACGCACGTGTGTACTATTCAAATAGTATGCCTCTCTCTCTCTCTCTCTCCCTCCCCCCCCCCAGGGACTCTGGCCTCAATCGCCGCAGAAAACGGGATTACTGCGCGCTCCAAGAAACAACTGGCCGAAGACACAGCTCGAAGTACTGCGGCCAGAAAACGGGATCACCACGCCCTCCAAGAAACGACAGGCCGAACTGCTCCTCTCTCTCTCTCTCTCTCTCTCTCTCTCTCTCTCTCTCTCTCTCTCTCGCTCGCTCTGGCTTCCCTATCATCGTCTGACGTGGTGGGTCTTCTTGTCTATGTACAGTCGGGCCTCGCTCCACCCCTCTACACATGCAGGATGTATACTTCCATCTTCTAGGAGAAGATTCATTCTGGAGACCAGGAGACTTTTTTTTTTTTTTTTTTTTTTTTGTAACGAGGACCATTTTCTCTATTAATGTGTATAGCTCCAACTGTGACCGATGCCCCAAGGACAGGCCCATGGCTGCAAGGGCATATAGCGGATTTTTTTTGAGAGCCGGTTTTCTGAAGTTGGTGCCCAAAACCCGTAGCATAACGCACGTGCGTAGTATACGAATACAAGGCACCTCGTGCGTTGTATTCATATACAACACACGTGCGTTTTGTTTGGGGGAAGACTGTAGTGCACGGTGGGTGTGCGCAGTTGCGCACCCGTGAAGGCGGTTGTGGTGTGTGTGTGCACGGGTATGGTGCGCGCCTATCCGCCCTTCGCGCACTCTTCCCTTTCCTCTTACCTTTCTCGTGCCTCCGTCTCCCGAGTTGCTCTGCCCCTGGTGCGCCTCCGTGTATGCAAGTCCCCTGTCCGGGAGGAATCGGCCCCTGAACTCTCCTCGTGCGCCTGTAAGTACGCATGTGGGAAGTGTCCCGATCCTGGGCCCGGTTCGGCTTTTATACTTTGCCGGGCCCTGTTCGAAGTGTATCTCAGCTCTCGCATGCTGCGAGGCTGCCGACAAGTTGCAGCGCCCTGGTACCGTGGCTCCCCTGAGCCTGCGCCTGGGCCTATTTGGGCCCCCGAAGGGTTTTCGGCGGAGGGAGCCTTTTTGTCGGGTACCAGGCCTTTTTGCAG